TTCTAGTGAGGGTGATAGTGAGGGTCAGGGTGAGAGGGTGATAGTGAGGGGGAGGGTGAGTCAATCCCTTTTCTAGTGAGGGTGATAGTGAGGGTCAGGGTCAGGGTGAGAGGGTGAGGGGGAGGGGGAGTCAATCCCTTTTCTAGTGACAGCCATCTTGGTGACGTGTGTTGTTGTGCGAGGCCAGAGATGTAGTTCATGTCACACTAATGGCGCGTTTCCACTACACAGCCTCGCTCATTAGGACTGGCTCGTTAGGACTGGCTCGCTCGTTAGGACTGGCTCGCTCATTAGGACAGGCTCGCTCGTTAGGACTGGCTCGCTCGTTAGGACAGGCTCGCTCGTTAGGACTGGCTCGCTCGTTAGGACAGGCTCGCTCGTTAGGACAGGCTCGCTCGTTAGGACAGGCTCGCTCGTTAGGACAGGCTCGTTAGGACAGGCTCGCTCGTTAGGACTAGCTCGCTCGTTAGGACTGGCTCGCTCGTTAGGACAGGCTCGTTAGGACAGGCTCGCTCATTAGGACAGGCTCGCTCGTTAGGACTGGCTCGCTCGTTAGGACAGGCTCGCTCGTTAGGACTCGCTCGTTAGGACAGGCTCACTCGTTAGGACAGGCTCGCTCATTAGGACTGGCTCACTCGTTAGGACTGGCTCACTCGTTAGGACTGGCTCGTTAGGACAGGCTCACTCGTTAGGACTGGCTCGCTCGTTAGGACTGGCTCGCTCGTTAGGACAGGCTCACTCGTTAGGACAGGCTCACTCGTTAGGACAGGCTCACTCGTTAGGACTGGCTCGTTAGGACAGGCTCACTCGTTAGGACTGGCTCGCTCGTTAGGACTGGCTCGCTCGTTAGGACAGGCTCACTCGTTAGGACAGGCTCACTCGTTAGGACAGGCTCGCTCATTAGGACTGGCTCACTCATTAGGACTGGCTCACTCGTTAGGACTGGCTCGTTAGGACAGGCTCACTCGTTAGGACTGGCTCGCTCGTTAGGACTGGCTCGTTAGGACAGGCTCACTCGTTAGGACTGGCTCGCTCGTTAGGACTGGCTCGCTCGTTAGGACTGGCTCGCTCGTTAGGACAGGCTCACTCGTTAGGACTGGCTCGTTAGGACAGGCTCACTCATTAGGACTGGCTCACTCGTTAGGACTGGCTCACTCGTTAGGACTGGCTCGTTAGGACAGGCTCACTCGTTAGGACTGGCTCGCTCGTTAGGACTGGCTCGCTCGTTAGGACTGGCTCGCTCGTTAGGACAGGCTCACTCGTTAGGACTGGCTCGCTCGTTAGGACTGGCTCGCTCGTTAGGACTGGCTCGCTCGTTAGGACAGGCTCACTCGTTAGGACTGGCTCACTTATGACGCGTCTCCATTGCAGTTTAGGAACTGGGGTAGTATCTATAGCAGGGATGGGCAACTTTGATGGTGGTGGGGGCCACATCATTGATGTACTGGCCACCAGGGGGCCGCAGATTCACTTGGAACACACACACACAAAAATGCCATGTGTTGTATGTAATTATTAACAAATATACTAAGTCTGACATCTTCATTGATATTTTACAATCAAAGGGAACGTCCTCTAATAAGCCACTAAATAAATATCAGTTCACAGAAATGTTATTTCATTTTTACAAGTGGCATGTTTTTATTAAACAGTGGAATAAAACTATTTTAAACTATTGGAAAGCACGGAAAATGTGTGTGTATTGAGATGAACCATTAGATGACATACACATGGAGTCATGAACACTAACCCAGACATTAGTCACTAACTTGAACCTGAAACACTTGTAGCCAGTCTCTGCATTCCCCTTATTCCACACTGAGGGGAATGTCCACACAGACACCTGTCAGCCCGCACTCTGCTGTTCCTCAGCGCCCCCCCCCCTCCCTCCCTCCCGCTGAAACTATGAATGAAAAGCGTAGTAATCATAGATAACACGGCAGGGTCCGTGATAGTTTGTTTTCATCTGATTTCAAATAAACAAAGTCTTGGTTTTAAGAATATTAAACTTGTTTCGCCAAATTCAGATGATAAAAACAACTTGTAAGCTAAAGGCATAATTACAAGCGGCAACTTAACGTCACAGCAGACGTAACAACAGCCGGTGTTTCTTGTGGGGGTTGCCCCGGGAAACAAACACAATACACACAAATGCGTCACAGATTATTTCGCGGTATTTGAAATCATCTACACAGCTCGCGACGTAACTAGGAGTCTAGTGGACGGTATCAGTACTACAAGTAAAAAAAAAATAAAAAATGAATTACGTTGTTTATAAATTAATCTGAGGGCCGCAAAAAGAGGAGGTGGGGCCCGCGGTCCGCCATTTGCCCATCCCTGATCTATAGTAACGCAGTGTAGGCGGAGTGATCGGCTTGTTGTTGTCCTTCACTACACGATACTCACTCTTTTTCAGTTTTTCCCTACACTGCAAGACAGTCCTCGAGTAAATAAAAAAAAATATTAAAAATATATATATATTAAAAAAAAATATATATATAAAAAAATATATATATAAAAAAAATATATATATAAAAAAAAATATATATATAAAAAAATATATATATATATTTATATATATATAAAAAAATATATATATAAAAAAAAATATATATATATAAAAAAATATATATATATTTATATATTTATATATATATAAAAAAATATATATTTAAAAATATAGGGAAGTAGGGAATGAGTCCTTACCCCAAGTGAAGGAGTTCAAGTATCTCGGGGTCTTGTTCTCGAGTGAGGGAACAATGGAGCGTGAGATGGGCCGGAGAATCGGAGCAGCGGGAGCGGTACTGCAGTCGCTTTACCGCACCGTTGTGACGAAAAGGGAGCTGAGCCAGAAGGCAAAGCTCTCTGTCTACCGGGCCATTTCCGTTCCTACCCTCACCTATGGTCATGACCGAAAGAACGAGATCGCGGATACAAGCGGCCGAGATGGGTTTTCTCCGCAGGGTGGCTGGTGTCTCCCTTAGGGATAAGGTGAGAAGTTTCGGTCATCAGGGAGGGACTCGGAGTTGAGCCGCTCCTCCTTCGCGTCGAAAGGAGCCAGTTGAGGTGGTTCGGGCACCTAGTTAGGATGCCACCTGGGCGCCTCCCTAGGGAGGTGTTCCAGGCACGTCCAGCTGGGAGGAGACCAAGGGGTAGACCTAGGACCAGGTGGAGGGACTATATCTCTTTGCTGGCCTGGGAGCGCCTTGGGATCCCCCAGTCAGAGCTGGTTGATGTCGCCAGGGAAAATAAAGTTTGGGGCTCTCTGCTGGAACTGCTACCCCCGCGACCCGACCACGGATAAGCGGGAGAAGATGGATGGATGGATTTATATATATAAAAAAATATATATATATATCAAAAAATATATATATATCAAACAAAAAAAAAAAAAAATATATATATATATATAAAAATATTAGGGCCGGGACTTTAACGCGTTAATTAAGATTAATTAATCACACAAAAATGAACGCGTTACAAAAATTAACGCATTTTAATCGCACTTATTTTTGCACCGCGGAACGTTTCTCACTGGATGAGTTTCAGGCGTACCGATTATACTGGAGCACCAACTAACGTTCATGACTTCAGACAACAACAAACCACAGTGAACAACAGTGGGAAATGTTGTTTTAAAAAACGGACGGATGGAAGCGTCGATAAGAGCACGGTTGTGTGCAAATTATGCAAAAAGGAATTTGCATATCACCGCAGCACCTCAAGCCTCAAGTATCACCTCAATGCAAAACATATAGCAGCTAGCGTGGAAGCTAGCGTGGACGTTAGCCTCTTTTATCGCGTTCACACCAAAAAGAGCCGGTACTAAAATGAGTTCATGAGAACCTTTTTACCCCCACGAAAGTCCCTGCTAGAGAGCAGAGAGCTGCTAGAGAGCAGGGACTTTCGTACGGCTCTCTTGTGAGAAAATAGCTATATGTCTGATTGGCTGGGCGGATTGCAAACCACGCCCCGTAAAACTCCCAAAAAGTTTTGTGAAGCCGCCATTTTATTATCCTCGCATTAGCATTATTAGCATTAGCCCAGCGCAGAAACGCAGAGAAACTAACTTATGGCAACACAAAATAAAACATGGGAGCGGTGGAGATGAGGAGGTGTCGGCGTTCTGGCGATTTACTCGGAAGGCTTCAGTAGAAGCTGCTGGGAGTCCCAGCAGCTTCTACTGAAGCCAGTCCCCAACTCCGGGGACTTCCGGCCGGGGACTTTGGGCGGCAGTATACGCCGTGAAGTGGTTTGCGGCCTGCCAGTAAACCCAAAGCAGAAGAAGAAGAAGTGACGTCAGCGGCTTCATTTGCCTAATCCTCCCTCAGGTTCAAAGAGTTCTCATGAACCTTTGTGGGAAAAGTACTGCGGTGTGAATGCGCCTAATGGTATACTAAAATCCATGTGAAAAAAATGGCTTCTCACTGTTCTCAGGTCAAATATTTATATGTGATTACAAATGCCATTAATTTCGATTAATTAATTACAAAGCCTCTAATTAATTAGATTAATTTTTTTAATCGAGTCCCGGCCCTATTAAATATATATATATTTATATGCGACGATTCTCTCTGACCAATCAGCAGTCGAGAGTGACGTCACAGCCTGGTTGCTCCTGGCCCTAGAACCCCAATGTTATGGGGCCAGAAAAACGGTGAATTAGGACCCGCTAGCCGGTACTAGGCCAAGTGGAAACGCAACCAAAAGCGGGCCGCTGACGTCACAGCCCTCTTAAACGGGGCTCCACGCTGCAGTGGAAACGCTAACAAAGTGTTACTTCAGTGTTTTGCAACATGATGTTTTAAATTCACAAACATCATGTGTGTAATTCATGGCTCAATTCAAACGGGAGAGAAAGGTCACTTTTCTCGTTGACTTCAATGCATCATCTTTCTGAAATAAGGTCCCATGAGGTCCATCGGAAGGGGAGGGACTTCGCCTCTCTATTGTATTGTATTGTATTGTTGATGTTGTGCTGCTCTCTGATTGGCTGTCAGGACGTTCTTCGGGACGACCACCTGGCAGACGCTCACCTATCAGGTGGGGATTCTGCGGGGCCTTCTAGGTGCCCCCCCCCTGCTGGGCGCCCCCCCTCTGCTGGAAAACTTCATGGTGGCTTCCTACGAGAACCCGTCAGTTCCCGAGCGCAGGAACGAGATCTGGATCCTCCCATGAGACTTGTAGACGCCTTCCCAGCATGCACTGCTCCTGGGTTCAAGCCCCACCCCCTGCCACTGCTGTCCGATCACGAAGCCTCTCTTTGAGTTGCTGACGCCCCATTGGTTCTCCCTCAGTATTTGAATGGTCGTGACGTCAGCAGACACTCACACATCTCCGTCCTGATTGGCTGCCACAGTGCCTCAGCAGATGTTAGCTTAGCATAAAAACTGAGCAGCTTCACTTCCTGTTTGAAACATCAACACGTGTTTTCAGATCTCCTTTTTCAGATTATTCCGTCAGCACATGAACGCAGCATCGATCCAGAGCGGACACAATAAGAAAATATATTATTAGATATTTAATATGACATCCTCTAACATGTGTTATTAACCCTTTGTTTAATACGATCTAACATGTGTTGTTAACCCTTTGTTTAATACGATCTAACATGTGTTATTAACCCTTTGTTTAATACGATCTAACATGTGTTATTAACCCTTTGTTTAATACGATCTAACATGTTTTATTAACCCTTGTTTAATACGATCTAACATGTGTTATTAACCCTTTGTTTAATACGATCTAACATGTGTTAGTTAACCCTTTGTTTAATACGATCTAACATGTGTTATAACCCTTTGTTTAAAATACGATCTAACATGTGTTGTTAACCCTTTGTTTAATACGATCTAACATGTGTTATTAACCCTTTGTTTAATACGATCTAACATGTGTTATTAACCCTTTGTTTAATACGATCTAACATGTGTTATTAACCCTTGTTTAATACGATCTACATGTGTTATTAACCCTTTGTTTAATACGATCTAACATGTGTTATTAACCCTTTGTTTAATACGATCTAACATGTGTTATTAACCCTTTGTTTAATACGATCTAACATGTGTTATTAACCCTTTGTTTAATACGATCTAACATGTGTTATTAACCCTTTGTTTAATACGATCTAACATGTGTTAGTAACCCTTTGTTTAATAACATGTGTTATTAACCCTTTGTTTAATACGATCTAACATGTGTTATTAACCCTTTGTTTAATACGATCTAACATGTGTTATTAACCCTTTGTTTTAATACGATCTAACATGTGTTATTAACCCTTTGTTTAATACGATCTAACATGTGTTTATTAACCCTTTGTTTAATACGATCTAACATGTGTTATTAACCCTTTGTTAATACGAATCTAACATGTGTTATTAACCCTTTGTTTAATACGATCTAACATGTGTTATTAACCCTTTGTTTAATACGATCTAACATGTGTTATTAACCCTTTGTTTAATACGATCTAACATGTGTTGTTAACCCTTTGTTTAAATACGATCTAACATGTGTTATTAACCCTTTGTTTAATACGATCTAACATGTGTTATTATACCCTTTTGTTTAATACGATCTAACATGTGTTATTAACCCTTTGTTTAATACGATCTAACATGTGTTGTTAAACCCTTTGTTTAATACGATCTAAACATGTGTTATTAACCCTTTGGTTTAATACGATCTAACATGTGTTATTAACACCCTTTGTTTAATACGATCTAACATGTGTTTATTAACCCTTGTTTAATAAGATCTAACATGTGTTATAACCCTTTGTTTAATACGATCTAACATGTGTTATTAACCCTTTGTTAATACGATCTAACATGTGTTATTAACCCTTTGTTTAATACGATCTAACATGTGTTATTAAAACCCTTTGTTTTAATAGCGATCTAACATGTGTTATTAACCCTTTGTTTAATACGATCTAACATGTGTTATTAACCCTTTGTTTAATACGATCTAACATGTGTTGTTAACCCTTTGTTTAATACGATCTAACATGTGTTATTAACCCTTTGTTTAATACGATCTAACATGTGTTGTTAACCCTTTGTTTAATACGATCTAACATGTGTTATTAACCCTTTGTTTAATACGATCTAACATGTGTTATTAACCCTTTGTTTAATTACGATCTAACATGTGTTATTAACCCTTTGTTTAATACGACTAACATGTGTATAACCCTTTGTTTAATACGATCTAACTGTGTTATTAACCCTTTGTTAATCGATCTAACAGTGGTTATTAACCTTTGTTTAATACGATCTAACATGGGTCTAACATGTGTTATTAACCCTTTGTTTATACGATTAACATGTGTTATTAACTCCTTTGTTAATATACGATCTACATGTGTTATTAACCCTTTGTTAATACGATCTAACATGTGTTATTAACCTTTGTTTAATACGATCTAACATGTGTTGTTAACCCTTTGTTTATATACGATCTAACATGTGTTATTAACCCTTTGTTTAATTACGATATCTAACATGTGTTATTAACCCTTTGTTTAATACGATCTAACATGTGTTATTAACCCTTTGTTTATACGATCTAACATGTGTTGTTAACCCTTTGTTTAATACGATCTAACATGTGTTGATTACCCCTTTGTTTAATACGATCTAACATGTGTTATTAACCCTTGTTTAATACGATCTAACATGTGTTATTAACCCTTTTTTAATACGATCTAACATGTGTTATTAACCCTTTGTTTAATACGATCATAACAGTGTTTTATTAACCCTTGTTTAATACGATCTAACATGTGTTATTAACCCTTTGTTTAAATACGATCTAACATGTGTTATTAACCCTTTGTTTAATACGATCTAACATGTGTTGTTAACCCTTTGTTTAATACGATCTAACATGTGTTGTTAACCCTTTGTTTAATACGATCTAACATGTGTTATTAACCCTTTGTTTAATACGATCTAACATGTGTTATTAACCCTTTGTTTAATACGATCTAACATGTGTTATTAACCCTTTGTTTAATACGATCTAACATGTGTTGTTAACCCTTTGTTTAATACGATCTAACATGTGTTATTAACCCTTTGTTAATACGATCTAACATGTGTTATAACCCTTTGTTTAATACGATCTAACATGTGTTATTAACCCTTTGTTTAATACGATCTAACATGTGTTAGTAACCCTTTGTTTAATACGATCTAACATGTGTTATTAACCCTTTGTTTAATACGATCTAACATGTGTTATTAACCCTTTGTTTAATACGATCTAACATGTGTTATTAACCCTTTGTTTAATACGATCTAACATGTGTTATTAACCCTTTGTTTAATACGATCTAAACATGTGTTATTAACCCTTTGTTTAATACGATCTAACATGTGTTATTAACCCTTTGTTTAATACGATCTAACATGTGTTATTAACCCTTTGTTTAATACGATCTAACATGTGTTATAACCCTTTGTTTAATACGATCTAACATGTGTTTATTAACCCTTGTTTAATACGATCTAAACATGTGTTATAACCCCTTTTGTTTAATACGATCTAACATGTGTTATTAACCCTTTGTTTAATACGATCTAACAGGTGTTATTAACCCTTTGTTTAATACGATCTAACATGTGTTATTAACCCTTGTTTAATACGATCTAACAGTGTTGTTAACCCTTTGTTTAATACGATCTAACATGTGTTGTTAACCCTTTGTTTAATACGATCTAACATGGTGTTATTACCCTTTGTTTAATACGATCTAACATGTGTTGTTAACCCTTTGTTTAATACGATCTAACATGTGTTATTAACCCTTTGTTTAATACGATCTAACATGTGTTGATTAACCCTTTGTTTAATACGATCTAAACATGTGTTATTAACCCTTGTTTAATACGATCTAACATGTGTTATTAACCCTTTGTTTAATACGATCTTTAACATGTGTATTAACCCTTTGTTTAATACGATCTAACATGTGTTATTAACCCTTTGTTTAATACGATCTAACATGTGTTATTAACCCTTTGTTTAATACGATCTAACATGTGTTTATTAACCCTTTGTTTAATACGATCTAACATGTGTTATTAACCCTTTGTTTAATACGATCTAACATGTGTTATTAACCCTTTGTTTAATACGATCTAACATGTGTTATTAACCCTTTGTTTAATACGATCTAACATGTGTTATTAACCCTTTGTTTAATACGATCTAACATGTGTTATTAACCCTTTGTTTAATACGATCTAACATGTGTTATTAACCCTTTGTTTTAATACGATCTAACATGTGTTGTTAACCCTTTGTTTAATACGATCTAACATGTGTTATTAACCCTTTGTTTAATACGATCTAACATGTGTTATTAACCCTTTGTTTAATACGATCTAACATGTGTTATTAACCCTTTTGTTTAATACGATCTAACATGTGTTATTAACCCTTTGTTTAATACGATCTAACATGTGTTATTAACCTTTGTTTAATACGATCTAACATGTGTTATTAACCTTTGTTTAATAACGATCTAACATGTGTTATTAACCCTTTGTTTAATACGATCTAACATGTGTTGTTAACCCTTTGTTTAAATACGATCTAACATGTGTATTAACCCTTTGTTTAATACGATCTAACATGTGTTAACCCTTGTTTAATACGATCTAACATGTGTTATTAACCCTTTGTTTAATACGATCTAACATGTGTTATTAACCCTTTGTTAATACGATCTAACATGTGTTGTTAACCCTTTGTTTAATACGATCTAACATGTGTTATTAACCCTTTGTTTATACGATCTAACATGTGTTATTAACCCTTTGTTAATACGATCTAACATGTGTATTAACCCTTTGTTTAATACGATCTAACATGTGTTATTAACCCTTTGTTTAATACGATCTAACATGTGTATTAACCCTTTGTTTAATACGATCTAACATGTGTGTTTAACCCTTTGTTTAATACGATCTAACATGTGTTCTAACCCTTTGTTTAAATACGATCTAACATGTGTTATTAACCCTTTGTTTAACTACGATCTAACATGTGTTATTAACCCTTTGTTTAATACGATCTTAACATGTGTTATTAACCCTTTGTTTAATACGATCTAACATGTGTTATTAACCCTTTGTTTAATACGATCTAACATGTGTTATTAACCCTTTGTTTAATACGATCTAACATGTGTTATTAACCCTTTGTTTAATACGATCTAACATGTGTTGTTAACCCTTTGTTTAATACGATCTAACATGTTGTTATTAACCCTTTGTTTAATACGATCTAACATGTGTTATTAACCTTTGTTTAATACGATCTAACATGTGTTATTAACCCTTTGTTTAATACGATCTAACATGTGTTATTAACCCTTTGTTTAATACGATCTAACATGTGTTATTAACCCTTTGGTTTAATACGATCTAACATGTGTTATTAACCCTTTGTTTAATACGATCAACTATGTGTTATTAACCCTTTGTTTAATACGATCTAACAGTGTGTTTAACCTTTGTTAATCCGAATCTAACACATGTGTTATTAACCCTTTGTTTAATTTACGATCTAACATGTGTTATTAACCCTTTGTTTAATACGATCTAACATGTGTTATTAACCCTTTGTTTAATACGATCTAACATGTGTTGTAACCCTTTGTTTATACGAT